CCACATCAGCAATTGAGGCCTTCCTCAGTGCCAGCGGGTGACAGCAGGAGTTTATGTTCTGACAGCAGAGATCTGTTGGAGAGAATGCAGAATGCGGAAGTGCCTACACCACCAGTCAGCCTAGTGCATGTGCTGGCTAAGCCCCCAGCCAAAGTTCCTGAGCCTGATCTGTTTGAGAGGATGAAAAATGCAGAAGTCCCTACTCCACCCATGAGCCTAGTGCGTGCACTGGCTAAGCCCCTGTCCGAAGCTCCCAAGCCCGATCTGTTTGAGAGAATGAAGAATGCGGAAGTGCCTACTCCACCCATGAGCCGAGTGCGTGCACTGGCTAAGTCCCCCTCCAAAGCTCCTGAGCCTGATCTGTTCAAGAGAATGAGGAATGCAGAAGTGCCTACTCCGCCCACTGCACTCCCAGGTAAGTATTGTTGATCTATTGTCAGTTTGACCTGTTTCATCACATTGCTGCATTCCACCATCAGAGTCCCAGAGGGCTGCAATTCCTCAAGTGCCCTTGCCAACCGAAGGTGACTATGTCTTTATTTATCTATTGTATGACATTGCTAACCTCACAACCGTCCTTGGTACTGATAGCCACCAGTCTGGAAATGTCCCCCAGAATGCCAACCGTGGAAGTTCCCCAGGAATCCTCTCTGGATACAGGTAAGTATTCATGAAGTCCACATATAAGCTAAAGGCTAAGTTTTGTTTTCCATCTCTCAGAAGTCCATGTTGACCAAGGTGATGCACCAGATCGCAGCAATAGGGTTAACTTTGGTGATCCTGATCGGAGGCGGCTTGGTGCCCTGTTTTCATATGCTTTGGTGGGTATGTTCATTTCACATTCAGTCTCACACATATTGACAATAGTAATCATGCAGGCGATCTGCCAACAATTGAAGAACATCAGCTTCTGCAACATGCTGAACTAGCTGCTGCTGATACCAACAATGATGGCAGGTACTTTTCCACTTCTTTTTGCTTGACTAATGTTGGCCGTTAGTCCTGCAGGTGCTCCAAAAATTCAAATCATGGCATGATGCTGTCCCACCACCCATATCTTACCCCTTCAACCCACATCTGGATGGGCATATCATACAGGCAATGAAATGGCTTGCAGTTGACATCCTGCATCTTGTCATGTTTCAGGTGAAGTCCCTGCAAGTTGGTCAGTACACCATGGATATGTTAGACCTGCTGGAGGTATCGTGGTACCCACATGTAGGGTATGATGTGGAGCCATATGCTGGAGGTCTGCCATATCCAACCTGACAATCTGCCATTGAGATGGCAATTATATACTTGGGGTGCCACATTGAGTGTGCTGCTACTCATCTGTTAGGCATGCCATGAGTATGTGACTGGCCCAAGGAGCGGTTCTACAACCTCCACTTGGATTTGGTATGTTCTCCATGTATATTGCCTTTATTTCTGGCTGATTAAGGCAACCACAGAAGGAACTGGACCACCTCATCCTAGTAACAGTATCACGGGCAAGCCTTACTCCAACGCTCCCAGCATGTTTTCATGCATACCTGCAGTGCCAAGAGGACCAGAGGAGATTTCAGGATGAGCTGCAGCAGATTCCACTTACCACCTTTCGGATGATCGACCAGATTGGCCATTTCATTCCTGACTGGATACCAAGATCAGCCAACAAAAATGTTGGGTTTGTCTTTCCTTGGTGGGCTAATAGATTGGCACAATATGCAACGGAATTTCAGGAATTGAGGGGCAGCAAGATTTTCTGCATCACCTATGACTACTTCCAGGTAATTTCAGGTACTTTTCACAAGTTCAATTCCTTGATCATCCTTCAGCATGCATGGCCATTTGAGCAGCCTTCAATGGGAGAATGTATCGATGAGTGGATTGATGGGCAGGTCCATACCTACATCCACTCCCTGAGGGAAATCGAGGGTGAGGTTGAGCAGAACGATAGGGATATTGACCATTTGTTTTCATGGTGGTCTGTCCTCTCATGACTTCTTGGGGGCAGGGATGTGTGGTAGATATTCCAAGTGTAAACTGTCCCTCTTGTATATATTTTTTCCCTCTACTTCCCTCTATATGCTTACATGCCCTACCTGAGGGAAGGTGCCATGCAGTTGAGTGGAATGAATGGACAGTGTGCATCTGACATCGCATTAGTCTGCTGGTCCTGGGGTATATATTTCCACGATATGCATTGCTTCAACTATCTATACAATGGCAGTGCTATGTAGCTGCAAATCTGAGATGTGTGGCAGATTGCACAACGGCACACCAACAGACTGATGTACATTTTGCCACATATAATATGCAAGGCATGCTCGATTACCTTCACTATAACCCACCCCATGCTCCAATGCTGATCCAGACATAGCAATTATGGTGCCTGGATTATATTGAAATCATAGCTTCAGCATTGGAATGACCATATCCAGCAGCATATAATCCCCCACCGTCATTAGCATATCCAACCATGGCTCCCATCCATTGATGTCTGTGTGGTATGGGGTTGTGTGGTTAACCATAATTGATGCGCAATTATACACCGAATTCCATATCTGTAAGATGGAAGACATATCTGTATCCTCCCATGTTCTTGCCTCCATACCGAGCCAGATGAGAGCCTCCCAGCCTGCAGCAAACATCCATGGATGGATGACTGCAAGTGTGCCAGATAGGAGTGCATGGATGTCGGACATCTGATCCACCCATTGCTGCATGCCATTGGGTTTTCGACCAGACTTTAACAGCCACAATACCTCAGGGTGGAACTTGACCTCTTCTCCAGGTTTCACTGATTTGGGCTGGGATGTGTTACTCACATGTAACCAGATACAGAAAATATACCTTACCCCATGGCCTTGTTGATACCATCCAGGTGAGCAGTCTATACTACCTCTCAGATCTGCCATTTCACAGAACAGTATCTGATCATTATGCCATCCATGCTGGCATGAAGGTTTGAGGCCGTCCTCCAGAGCCACACTCATTCCATGAAGAGAATTCCAAATGTTTTTCTGGTAGAACAGTCAGTATGCCACCATTGAAGTCTCACAATCCTGATGTGTATAGTCTATAGCGCCTGGAAGGTACCATAGCTTGATATTTCCATTTTCATCCAGTACAACAGATGCAGCTGTGATTTCCTCGTATGGCAGTGATGCCGTGGTATCCTGAGTTTTACCACACTGCGTTTCACAGACTACAACTGTACTATAATGAGTGGATTATCATGAACGGGTTCTTGAACTCACACGGATTCTGATATGCTTGTACAATTGTTCTAAGCATGTGATTGGCTTGCAATAGCAGTGGTACAGGAATCGATATATCAGGGAGTACCTGAGGTCCAAAGAACACCTCCTGGCAAAATTGGCTTTGCATATATTCGGCAATCTTTTCGGTCAAATGCATCTGCCAACCATGTGGTACTGGAGACTTTGTTTCCTGGTGCTGCATGTCTGAAAGAGAAGTCACTGTTAGCTGCTCGCTACTCCTCAACACTATCTCATGTGATGGGACAATGAGTCAAGAAAATCTTCTCACCATTGTCCATCATATTATGTCATTATATTACATCAGCTTTTGACTTGAATCCGAGGTACCATCCCAGATATCGGGTATAATGAAGGACCAGCCAGTCCATCAGTTGAGCTACGTTAACTCATTCCCAGCAAGGATAGGCCAGCCCTCCAGTTGTGCAGTCCTATATGATGCATTTGGCAGGCCCCTCTATCGGCTGTGCAGTCTACCTTATATCCTGGATAAGCCAACCATGAGACATAGCATCCCCCATGAATTGTCTGACCAGTCTGCCCATGAGTTGAGCCATTCTGCCTCATGTTGTAGATGGCCACTCCATCAGGCATGTGGTCTTGTTTTAAATCACAGAGGGATTAGCCTGCAAGTTATGCCAACCTACATAGTACATAGCACAGGCGTGGTCACATTTTAAATCATGGAGGGACCAGCCCACAAGTTATGCCAACCTACATAGTACATAGCACAGGCCTTCCCATTATTCATGCCATCATGCCCTCATATGATGGACTGGGCCATCCATGAGTTGTACTTTGTTATTTCATATCACAGGCATGCTACATAACAAGCCAGCCAGGCTGTCGATGAGTTGTACCATCCTGTCGAATATCATGGCCCAGCCCATCCATCAGATGTGTGGTCTCATTTTATATCACAGGTGGGCCAGCACAGGAGTTATGCCTTCCTACATGATATTTCCAACAGGCCCACCCAAAGGTGGTGGCATCATGTCCCATATGGTGGATGGGCCCATCCATCAGTTGTGCGATCCTATTTCACATCTGTGACAGGCCAGTCCATGAGATTTAGCATCCTACATGAGAAGCAGGATGGGCCTGTGCATGAGTTGCACCACCCTGTCCCATATCATGGCTGGGCCCTCCACAGGCCAGATCATGAGTTGTGCCATCATACCACATATGGCGGACAGGCTCATCCAGTAGCTGTGCAATCTTACTTTATATCACAGAGAGGCCCATCCATATGTTGTGTTAACCCCCTCTCTTGGGCCTGCTCATATGTGGTGGCATTCCTCTCAGATCCCCATTTAGGGCCCACTCATATGTTGTTGTCACTCTTTGCACTTGGGCCTGCTTATGTGTCATGTCATTCTCATTCCAACGGGCCTGCCACAGGCTCTCCATAAGTGTTGGCTTTGTGGCATGCAGGCTACCCATGAGTTGTGACTAATGTGACTACATGGGGTCACAGAATATAATTCTAAAGGTAGATGCAGAATGTTTGCCCAAATATACCATTAGAACTCTGTTAGGTCTTGGACCAACACCGAAGAGCAGATGTCTAGATGTGAAGAATAGTTTGACATTTCATTCCCATCTCACTTTATTTCTCATTTACTATGACTGATCCTACTATACCTCTTTTGGAGTCGAACCAAAATTAACACTTTAGAAGAGTGGAGTTCTACCAAATAATATCTATATAGTTTTATTAATCAAATAAATAATAAGTAGTCTTTATCAGATTCGAACTGACACTGGGTATGTGAAGGGTAACTGTGCGACCTTTACACTAAAAGACCAAGAAATATTTCTAAATAATTTTGTTTAATTTTAAAGTATTAATACTTTTTTTTTAATTTAGTATTAGTATAGCGAATTTTAAAATTGAACCAAACCTAGCAGCTAGTTTTCTTATCTGAGGATAATACAGTTAAATTGGAGTGCACAGCAGTCTCATGAGCTGCTAGGTTTGGTTCAATTCCAAAATTCGCTATACTAATAAGCAGTCGAAATTTTATTTTAAATAAATGATGGCGTACCTTTTGCATAATGGGTCAGCAAGTTAATAGAAGTAGCAAGGTTAAAAGCCTAAGCGAAAGCGACTACTTCCAATTTGAAGTGGGTTAAGTTACTTCTATTAGACCCGAAGCCAGGTGATCTTTCCAAGACCAGATTTTAAGGATCGAACAGGGTGAATGTTGCATAATTCTCCGATGAGTTTTGGAAAGCGGTGAAATGCTAATCTGACCTGGTGATAGCTGGTTTTCTACGAAACATATTTAAGTATGACATCTACTTTAAATTTATGGAGGTACAGCACGGTAATTCCCAACAAATATTAAATTTAATTATAATTTTTTTATATTATATTTGATAGGAGTTTAGGTTGTGGGGACCTCGAAAATCTTACCAATGGAAATGAATCTCGGAATTACATAAATTGGTGGTAGATATTCAGACTATTCATGCTAAGTTGGATAGTCAAGACGGAAACAGCCGAGAACACAAATTAAGGTCCCGAATGATTATTAAGTGAAATAAAGGATGCCTCGGAATGGAGTTCAACCACTGTTTTTCGAACTTCAGTCGAACACTTTAACCCTTAAGCCACCGAAGCTTAGAATATAATTAATAATTTAATTTTTAGTTATTTTGGAGAAAGATAGACTCGAACTATCATATTTGTAGTGCAAATACAACTGATTACCAATTATCAGATTTCCCCTTATATTAAATAATCTAAAATCAACAAATAAAGCTAAATTAGAAGTAGAAAATGCTATAAATATTAAAATTAAAGTAGATAAAGTAATATAAATAGAATATGTAGTAATTACACCAGTATCTAATTTTGATATATTAGAAGCACTTTGATTTAAAGCTGAAGCTAAACCATATGGTCCGGATAACCATCCATCTAGTAGCGTAGGAACAATATTAAATAAACCTAAATTTACTTTAGGTAAATTGTATTGTTACTATAGCAGTTTCATGCCTAGCCTCTACCTGATAAAAGGGCCACCGAGATGTACTGTATGGGGACTCATTCTTTTACTACCTCTGAAATACAGACCATTAAGTCTGGAAATGAGTAGCCTTCAAAAGATCCTTTTGCTTGTGGTGTCGTTGCAAGTTCAATAACTTTGCATCACCACTACATATTTTTTTCCGACTTCAGTCTACATCTTGAACTAAACCAATACCTGATACCTTCTCAAACAACCTATGGGCTGATCACCTGTTTGAAAAATCAAGCAAGTATCTTCTGAAAAATTTCCTTGTTAGAATGTCTAACCTGCATTATAACCTTCACCAAGCCATGCATGCTCGAGCTGCTTCCTTACCTCACAGTCCAATGGTTCAGCCCAGTGCTGATGCCAGCGAAAATTCTCCTCTGCCAAAGTTGACTCCCCTTGGAAGTCAATACTCTACCCCTGCCGAAAAGACTGTCGCTGAGAACATGTGAAAGTACAGTGACATAGTCTGTACAAATTCAAGAAGCTTAAGCCTGGCACCCAGAAGTGCAGCTGTGAATATTCCTGACTCGAGGATGACCTCATCGGAGATCCCAGAGGATAAATTCCCAGAGGCTGTTGCAGCTCACACTGTTAGATTGGCAGTACTGAATCACAGTGATAATGAAGACTTACCCATTATTGTCCATGACAATGTTGTGTCTCCAGTCTCTACAAGTGAGGCTGAGAATGAGTGTGATGATGAACACTCATGGACCAAAGTGGTGCGCAAGAAGTCACACAAACAACATACCACTGGTAAGCTATGACCTGACCAAGAAAAGGTTATTAGAGAGGCTGAATGACAGTTGACCCCAGATGAGAGAGAACGCATCTGGAGGTGGTCTTTATCAAAAAGTAGAATCAACCATGAAGTCCTGATGTCTGAAGGGGATGAACTCCCTAGAGACAGAAAGGGAAAAGGGCCCAATCCTAAGGACTGGGGAACGCTAAGTATGAGTGAAGATGAAATGGACCCAGAGGCACAACGAGCCATGCTTGCATCCTGGAAAGCCACACAAAGGTTAGCCAGGGACAGCAATGACAGCCAAGTTGGACCATCTAAGTTGAAACTCCAGAAAGAAATAGCAGAGCCTGACAAAAGCGACCACCAACGTCCAACCCTAGTTTGTGTTGAGCACCATAAGAAGGAGAAGTGCAAGCACAATAAGGAACTCACCAAGAAAGCACCTAAATCCCGAGACACTCTTCCTAACCCTGTTAAGGACATGGTTGATAAAGCTGCTTGCAGAGATCATAAATGCCATGAAAGACAAAGAACCCCTAGGGCAATGGAACCAGTTAAACAAATAAACCCAAAGAGTTATATTGGGCTGGCCTTCAAACACCTAGAAAGGGATGAGAAGAAAATCCAAAAACCCAAGAGGAGGTCACGCTGTCCCAAGTACTCCTCTAGTAGTGAGAGCCCAGATTCATCCAGCAACTCGAGTGACGAGTCCTCAGAGACTAGTAACCTGGATTCCAGCTCTTCCAATGACTTGTACTCAAGTAGCAGCAACTCATCTTCAGGCAGGGACTCCTCCAGTGATGATTTGTTGTCGGCCACTAGTGACTCTGACTTGATGAGTAGTGGATCATCAGGGAAAGGACATCACTGCTGAGGGAGATCATGGAGTTGTCAAAGACACAGTTGGGGCTCCTGTAAGACTAAGAAGAAATTTAAGTCACAACACAGGACTATGTTAAAGCCCATACCTCCTACCAAGTATGATGGCTCTGACAATATCCAAGCATTCCAACATTTTGTAATGGAGGGAACAGTGTATGTGAAGGACAGACATGTTGCATCCAAGAAATGCACATTTATCTTGTCACACTACCTAACAAAGAAAGCTCATGAATTCTAAGTATGCAAAGTTTCTGGGGACCCTTACAAGTGGCAATTGTCCGAGTTTTTCATGGAACTGTTCAACTACTGTTTCCCTGTCAATTTCTGCTTGCTACACAGGGAAAAGCTGCAATCGTGCTATCAAAACTCTAAGACAGTCAAGGAATACCTACATGACCTAAATGAGTTATGGAATATGATAGGTGAAAGGGATGAACATACCAAAGTTCACAAGTTCTGGTCTGGATTACAAAAAGACCTGCAGCATGACCTGTGGAAAGAGAAGTTAAATCCTGAGATTTCCTCCCTGAAGAAAGTCGTGGCAACTGCAGAGATACTCGAGATCGTCCAGTCAATTACAGGAGATTCCTCTCGGAAATCCCAGCGACCCAATAACAAGAAATGGGATACTGGAAATGATAATGCACTGCCTGACGAGGATTCCTCTAGCAAACATTGGCAGAAACACCATCATCGAAGGAAAGACAGATGCCACAGTCAGCATAAGGAGGCTGTGCCATCAGGGAATAGCCAGCATCAGAAAAGAGACAAGAACCCTGATAAGTGAAAGGCTGACCCACCAAAGCTAAGTAAGGATGAGCAGGAACAGCACAAGGCTGAGGGCCTGTGCTACATCTGCCACAAGTCTGGTCACTTCTTGAGGAACTGTCCCAAGCGACAGAAGGTTTCCTCCTCGAGTAAACCCCCAGGGGTTACAAGCTTTGGCATCAATGTAGACTTTGGAGACATCGAACATCAACTGACAACTAGCTAAAGATCTAGAATGTGAACCTGAGGTCTCTCTGAACTTCATTCAAACTTGCAGCCCTACTATGGATGACGACGACACATATGACAATATTCCTGATCTAGAAAGCATCTGGAGCGATCAGGATGATGAGGGAAGTGACAATGACGTTACTATGGACAATAGCAATCCCCTTGATGGGATGAGGATTCATTTCTATAGCATGAACCAGCTGAGAGGACCCATGGCAACTGGATCGAGGATTGGGGTGCCATTGGCAGAACGTGCTATGGAACATTTGTCTGGCATTTGTTATCCAGGCGATGATCCCGATTCACTAGCCACTTAAATGGACACCCAATTCCTAGTTTATGATCTGCACAATGGACAACACATGATTGCTGAAAGCGAGAGAGATGTCCTTGGACCTGGGGATGAGATCACTGTCACTACTTGTCTACTCCTTACCCTGGTGTTCTGGCTTGACAGCTGGTACTGGTTCAGAAAGGGTGAGTGAGCCAGACTATCTAAAGCAGAGACACACCATCTAGAAAGAGAGTGCACCTGGAGATCCCCAACTATGGGGACCCCAATCGAAGATCATGTTGTCGCCAAACTTGAGACATTCAGCCTCCCAGTTCTGGAAGGAGGCAATAATGGTCGCTTTGCATGCACCAGAAAAGACAAGGATACATACGAAGTGTATGATTACCATATGGCTCTATGCTTTGAACTTCCTGCATCTCGATTGACCTTACCTGAGTTGAATGTGAACCACTGGCATGCCAAAGCATTGCTACATGCTTGCCTTGATCTAACGAGCTCTGACCCAATGGATGATGATGATCTTGGTCTGGGTAATTTGTATAGAGAGGACCTTGAACTCGAAACTCCCAAAGAATGGTGTTACGACTCACGCCTTGCCATGGGACTTTCTTTCTCTTCTTGACTGCTTGGTCCTGTTGATCTTGTTCTATGCATTTCTTTCTTGTTCCTTTGACTCATGTTTTGACTCAGCCAATAGCGATATCTTCTCTTTACACATGTTCAACACATGTAGGACTCTGGCCAATGGCCTTTATCCCTTAGCTACATGAGGTTGCCTTGAGGCCTCTCCCTCTGTACTATATATAGTCGCCTCTAGTCTAGAGTAGACCCTCAGACTAGAGCTGCCCAATCTACTGGCTAGTTCCACAGAACTTCGAACTTGAGCTTCCCAGCTCTCACTCAGAACTACGATAAATCCTTCAGACAGAAGGTTATGATCAGTCGCATCGTAGAACGAACTACTTGGGCTCGACCTACTGTTACAGACTTCGGTCTTAGCGTAACAAAAGCTCTAGTCTACATCCCGGCCAGTCATGCCTGACTGTCTGCTGTTTAGCGAGACACCATTTTCCCTCGAAGGAACAGATTGTGGGCAAGCCCACTTGAACTATGAAGAACCCTGAACCAGAGTCGTCAAGCTCTGATACTGAACATAGTGCCATTGAAGCACATACCCCGACTGACCCGAACCCCTCACCATCTGAGGACGATACCTGGCTTCCTCCGAGAATACCCTCCAGAACGTATTATCCTCTTTAGGATCACCTCATCCCCTCACCTCTCAACCCCTGCCTTAAACCCAGAAGGCCATTCACTATGTCAGGATCTGGATCTGGCCTTGGCCTTGGATCAAAGAGTGGAGCCCTCACCGCTCCAGCCCAACCCACCGAACTCAAGATTGGCACGCATGTTTGAATATGACGGTAGCCATGAAACTGCCATGTCTTGGCTGTATTCAGTCAAGGCATACCTTTTGATCAACCAAGACGTCTACGACAACGACAATAAATGTGTCACTTACGCTCTCTCTCATATGAAGAAGGGAGTAGCCCAAGCATGGGCAACGACTTTCTACCAGGTGGCCCTGGAGAAACAGAATCCCAGTTTTGGGACGATGAAAGACTTTGAAAAAGATTTCAAGGCAGCTTTTACCCCAGCTGACACTGCTGGAGCTGCCA